TTGCCTGTTTGAAGTTGCTGAATATAGTGAACAAAAAGCGAGACACTTCATTCTTCATACAGTTCCCCTTTCAGCGTCCGCACATTGGACTGTGTTTGGATGGTCGCTTCTTAAATTGATACACTTCTATTGTTAATACACGACTTTTGTCATCACACCAAAATAATACGAGAAACGTAAAAATTTTGTGATTTAGAGAAAATTTGCTTGAACTGTGTACGGCAATATATTGTTGGATCAACTTCCAAAGACACAGTGTCACCGCATTCGGTGACTCCTTTGGCATTCACTGGTTTTTCAAATCGTTGGCATTGGATTGTGTAAAAACCAAATAGAATTGCACAAAAACCATCAGCCAAAGTAAAAGAAGATGTACAAATGAATGTTACAGTAATGGTGTGTGCATAACCAGAGATTCGTCATGGGCGATTTATTTTTCTAACTGCGAATCACATTTTGATGTGACAGTGGTGTTTTTCGAGTCGGTTTTGTTTGCATCATTGTGGGTGCTACAAACAAAACAAAGCATTAGTTCAAAATCAGATTGACATATTTATTTTGTGTGTGTTTTTTGTTTTTGGTTTTGGCATTCAACATCACACCTCCCCAACGCTAAGACTGTGCAACCAAAGTGTAACAAGAAATGGCACTGGCCACTTGTGACATTTGACACAAACATTTGTAGACAGGAACGAAGAAAAAAAATATTTATAATGGCATGAGCTGTACCAACGTTATTCATTTAAATTGTAGCTCGAGAGATCACCGCCTTTTTTCCAACGTCGTTTAAAAAAGAATTCACGCGACAAAAATCAATATCTTTCAAAAGCGAAATTAAAAAATAAATTAAAAATACGGTTTGGTTTTCCGTTGAAAAATGATCTTTCTAATCTGTAGACATGAAAAAAAAAATGAATGATGAAAGTTATACAGTTGCAACAATTTGCTGATGACCGAACACAGAACGAAACATTTTATTTAACAAATGATTTCACTTTTCGTGTGCATTTGTGAAAAAAACAAAACAAAACAAAACAAAACAAGAAAAAAACTTCCACGACTAAAAGTGTCATTAATGAATTTTTCTTTGAATTACTTTTTTTCTGTTCGTTGCAATTTATCTAATCGATGGGGATGTGTGAATGAGTTCCATGTGCTAAGAACAAATGAGAAAATCATCGGTGCATTCGCGCGAACATTAAATCTTGTGGAAGTGAAATGTACAAACACATGGCGAAAAAAAATCTATATACAAACGATGCGACAGCAATATTTTTATGAAGTCATCATCAACATAGTCGGCGTTTTCGATGTAACAACTAGTATCGGAGTCTATTAAATAGAGACCATTCGGTTTATAGTTGTGTTTTACGCTCACTAAAGAATCATTACTGTTCCTGTTGTATATTATCGAAAAGAGGGAGAGGGTTTGTTAGCAGCATTTGGTCTACATCAAAAATCAAACGAGAAGACAGAATAAGCGATAGTCAACAGCAACAACATAAGGGAACAACAACAACCAAACTGGGTACCATTTAAATCGAATGCTAAAATTTAGCACCGGTTTAGGTATCAGCACGTGAATACAACCACATCGCATAGAAAAGCATTTGTGCAAACAAGCAGCAATGCATATAAAGCGATGACAAAACACTATTGATATTGTCGCCTTAGAATGCATTGAGTGTAAACGCTTTACAACCTTTTGACAGCTTATAATTTATTAGCTAAGTAGCGTTTTCATTGAGCGGAACCGAAATTACAGGCAGAAAACGAGAAGAATAAAAATTGTCGATTGAATACTGTGTCAATGTTATGAATATATAAAAAGAGTGATGAATTCAGTAGGTTGTGTGTATGTTTGATGCGGTTTTGAACTAACAAGGGTGAGATATTGAGACTGTGCGTACCAAAGAATATAACGTACAACACTTTGCATAGAATGCACGAAGCATGCAACGAAAGAAGAATAGTTAATAGAGATATTTGCACATATGTGGTGTCAAAAAAAGAGAGAATAAATAAATAAAATAAATAAACATAAAATGCCGTAAAAACAAAAACAACAAATGGCAAAAGATAGGCAACAAAGCATTTTCTCTCTAATCAGACTCAGTGAATGCACACGATGCCAATTGAATTGTATTTAAAAATTTATGATGTGTTAAACGGTAGCACTTGCAATCAGCTTAATCATAATCCACACACATACACAGAGAGAAAGAGAGAGAGAGAGAGAGAGAGAGAGAGAGAGAGAGTATCCAAATAAATGCCGACGTTAAAATAATGTTCGAGTGAGGCGCGCGTCTGTATGTACAAAATGTGATGCTGTATGACACCCTACATATTATATAGAGGAACAATGACACATTCGACTCGGCAGTGTCGCAGCGGCAAATATTGTCGGAATTACTTAAATAAATAGCGTTTCAAAGGCACTGTATATTTGGACACGGATGATGGTGACGACAACAATAACATCAACAACAACAGCAACAATAAAACAACCAGCCAAACTGAGCGCAAGAAATCAAACAAATGGCATTAAATACAATTTTCATTTTCATTTGGACATTTTTCGCCTCTTTTCTAGATCTCCAGCTAATAATCAAATGGCCATAAATGAATCAAAGCGGAAACTTGGTTAGTTCATTTTGTTTGAAAGTATCATTTTTAGAATTAAATTAGGGCCCGAAAATGTCATGCTCTTTCAACTTTTATTTACAAAAATACTTTGAATAATTAGAAACCGTAAACATTTCTTGAACGCTCTCACCAACATTCATTCTTTTTTGTTCATTCGTTTTTGTAATTGTTTAAGTTTGTTTGCAAATTAAATTCGATGTTATATTAGTTTTCTTGGGCGTTGAGGTTAACGTACGACTTATGTACTCACATTTATGTTGGCTAAATTTCGAAAGTACAAAAAAAAATACGATGAAAATGGTGTTGCAAATTGATTTCACATCGATCAAATTCATTGAGAGATAAAAACAGGCGTGAAAAATTGATTTATTGCATCCAAGAACATAGGCCAACCCGTTCGAACAATTGGCGCCTTTTGAAAGGCGCACGCATCATTTCTGCGCCTTTTAATGAAATGACGAGAAAAAGAATAAGCAACACATCGTATGACTCGTATTTCATTCGATTTTTCTTATGCTAAAATGCTAAGACCATACTTCTTCTTCGTTTGAATCTCCATTGTGCTGCGAAGATCCGCACAAAGAGGAACAAAAAATACCAAAAATGTAACGAATCTGCGCCTACTATGCTGTTTTTCGTACACGCTGTTTATATACGAATCATACGATGTGCTCGTTTATCCTTTTTCTCGTCATTTCATTAAAAGGCGCAGAAATGGTGCGTGCGCCTTTCAAAAGGCGCCGATTGTTCGAACGGGAATGAACAAAAAACAAAACGCACACAATGAATTAAAGAAAAATAAACGACGAGGTGACAAATAGTGCAGACGATATCAATTTGATTCGCCATATCAGTCGATTACTTTAAAACTGGCATCATGTTGTTGTACACAAATTGATCATTGTTTGTTCTGCTGGAAGCACATTTTGTCTGTTTGATTGACTTTCGGTCGCACGAATTTTTTTACAGCAAGCCAACGCTTTATGACACTATTGTCATAATGACATGGTATGTAATTCAAGCACCACTCAGGTCACGTGGCTTATTTTGTTTCTCATAAAATACGCCCTCTTCAAGTGTATACAATGCATTTGCTTGTCACGGGAACCAATTTCAATTGGATGACAAGAATTTAGATAGTATTAAACCGATTTTGTGGAAATGATCCGATAATTATATGATTTGAAGTGCCACAAATTAGTTTGGAATGTACCATGGGGCAAAACAATCTCAAGCATTTTTTTAACCAATTTATCCATATTTCAAATATTGTTTGTCGAAAATCCCTTAATTTTTCAGTAAAAAAAAAACAGGAATGTAATCGGTTGCTCTTGGGCACGATTATATGGTTCATATTCAAATTGAATAATTCAATGACATTTAAAAATTGATGTTCTTCTGATTTATAATAATAAATTGGACTAATTTGCCACGTACTTTTTCTTTCATTGTTTTTCAATTGAATCAATGAGTTAAGAAAACATTCATTGAGATTTGATGACATTCATGTCATGTAGTTTTAACTCTAACTAGAAATAATAAATTTAAAAAAAATATCGAGCGAATCCGAGTTCGTTCGATTGAAGAACATTTTTAGCAAAAAAAAAAATCTATAGATTTCGCTTGTAATGAATACTAAAGAAATAATAATATCATAATCAAAATGTATTTGAATAGTTTGAATGATAAATGATATTAGTGGAAGTGGTTGAATTTTATCATTGAACTTATGCAAAAATAATGTACAAATATTTGCAGTGTGTTTTCGCGTGTCAGTGTGCATCCGCATTTGGTGGTATGAATTTAAAGGAATGTTATCTAGCAAAACACGTTTTATTTACTTATTTCATCTAATATTTAATATGCTGTTCTGAATGCGTTGCGTGCTTCTTGCGGTTGACTGCTTAGCTCTTTGCGTTTCGATTCGTGCCATTTTTATCATAATCTCCATGGTGTTTTTGAATGCATGTATTTGTTAGTGAAATCGTATCGTACAAGCGATCAACAATTATTTACGGATGATAAGCGAACGATGAACGCTTATAGAATTTATGCAAAGTTAAAAAGAAATAATTCTATGCCGGTATTCCAAAAAAAAAAAAAACAAATCCATTGGAATGATGCATCATAGAAACTAGAGTGAAAATCTGGCGGTTTCAACGAGAAAAACAGTCTATGCGAACTGTGTAGATTCATGTGATAAAAATCCGGCACTATTTCATCTTCCATTAAATCTAACTAGTTGCATGTCGTTCTAGCAAGTAGAAATTTGGCATAAATCAATTCTTATGTATAACATACCTGAGTTACGAGACAAGAAAAAACAATTTACTTGAAGCTTGTATATAACATACCTGAACGCTGAAAAAAAAATAAAATGTTTCATTAGTATTTGATATTAGTAAATATTTCAAAATTCAATTGAAACCTTTAAAATTGTATATAGTTTTAAAAAAAACTATTGTATATAGTTTTTATGAAATTAATAAATAATTACCGTGCTTCGGTTAAATCAATTTTCATGGCAATTTCTTCACGTGTATAAATATCCGGATAGTGAGTTTCTTGGAAAGCGCGCTCCAGCTCCTTCAATTGGGCCGATGTAAATGTGGTACGAATGCGTCGTTGTTTCCGTTTTTCACTTAATACCGATTCGTGACTGGAATACACTTTATAAGGAAGACCGGCTGCAAAATATAAAATCAAGTTAGAAAAACAACTTTCACATGTGAAGAGGGAAGAAGCAACAACAAAAAAAAGTAAAAACGTATTAGCCAAAACTAAAACTGACATTAACTAAACGATAACGATGAATCAAATTTATTTTCGGCAACGGAGGCTATCAAACCCATTAGTTTGGTCAATAAAAGTAAACGATACATCGAAATAAAATAAAATGCATGGAATTAAAAAAGGATCCATCCACCCATTTCATATGGAGACGAGGCAATTGCTTGTTGTGAAGGTAACATTTTGTTAATTCACAATTGGTTTTACATTCGCCTATCAATTTATGCATTTTCCTTGGAAAAATCGAACACGAATGAAATTCAATCGAATTAACATTTTGAGATTATCTCTTGTTCTCCATCCAATCCAAAATGCACAGTTAAAAATGATTTGTCAATTGAATTACGAACCGGTTTTCGGTGTACAATTTCTTTGACAGGCAAAGACAAACGATTTGTGAAATTAATCGCATTATTTATCTAAAGCGTTAAATCTAAAGGCCAGGTAGATGCAGTTTAAATCATCGTGCATGTGTGTCTTTTCCAGCTCTGACAGATAGTTGACCGTTATTCAATTAGTGAGAAATCAGTGGCATACAAAACATCTTTTTCCATGGTTCCATCATGAATAAATAAAACGACTAAAATTCAATGTATTTGTTATGCCCACAAATAAAAGAACCGGAGAGTATCTTTCGTTTTGCCATTTTCCGAATAGATTTCAATTAAAACAAAAACCAAAGTGACCATTTTCGTTGTCCAATAACGTTTACAGATTCACGTGAAATGCTTCCGATGCCATTTGAAAATTAAAAGTTCATCAATCTAATCCGTTATATTCATAGCCATTTGATTATCTATTTGAATTGGACCATTTCATTCAATTGTTTTATTCTTACGTTTTCGATCCCAAATGTGTACAAAAACCGTACGGAACTAGATAAAATTTAGATCACAAAAGGTACAGAGCAAAGAAAAGAAAAAAAAATTTCAAGCAAAAAGCTTGGCACTCCTTTTCGGCTTGTCCAAAGAAAGAAAAGTAATTATATTTGATCCAAAGCCCTAAGGTATCGGCAACAACGTTTCTAAATGCTAAAACCATGAAGTACGAATATGACTGGAAAATGCGATGTAATGCAGACAAAAACTTGATAGCAACAGATCTTCTGCGCGCAACCATTTCGCCCAGAATAAGATGAACATGAAGAAGAGAAACGAAGAAGGGAAAAGTGGAAAAAATAAATAAACGTAAATGAAATAAAATAAAATAAAATGTCGAGACGCCATTTCTAAGACAGTTTTATCGTCGTCATTGTTGTTTTGCTTTGCGCTCAATTCAACCGGATGGGCTTGCTTTTATATCATTCACGCTCCTGTTTCGTCTTCCCTCCATCTAGAGAGGATATTTTGTGTAGGTGAATATGTATATACAAAAGAACTCATACACAAACGAAGACACACACATGGTGCGAGCGCAATGCGTGTGCATGGAGTTGGAACCTTGACTTGGTGCGCTGGTGCGATACAATCAAAACACGCAATTGGTTCCATAGAAGTTTGCATTGTTTTGCACAGAGAGAATCGACACTGTCATTTTTGGGCTATATCTCAGTATGCGTAAATTAAGCATTATATAGCATTTATATACGCGCATCGACTGCAGATTGATACTAATTTTTGCAGATTTTTACACACATTTTATGGCACAACCTGAAAAGATTCATTTTAACCGTATATGCTAATCGATAATTTAAATGTGCATCATTTTACAAACTAATTGAATAAAGCTCCGTCTAAAATTACCATATTCATTTTTTTGCTAATTATTATCATGTAAATATACTATTAAGAGATGAATTCTTTTTTCGATTGAAATTTCCGAATTCTCTGAGGAATAAAAGTTTGTTTTGTTTGCAGTCTTAATATAAGTCCACGTTATTTTTATTTTATTTTATTTTTTGAAAGAAAACAATGTTTATTCTTTTTTAATGTTTTGCTGTCCAATTTCTATGTTCATTCATCATGTAAGAGACCAATCAATCGTCTTGGCAGAACTTTTTTTTCTTATATCCTGGTTATAATTCTTGTATGCTATGTATGGATTGTATATGATAACCGTTACTCGCTTAAGTTTATAATCAAATAAATTAATGTAAGCACATCATTTTGAACACACATTTATGTATTTTGTACGTTGTGCACGATATATCGAACATACAATTTGGCATTTCGGAGCAACAAAATAAAAATTTATATATGAAAGAAAGAAACCTGCCCGTACTATGAACATAAACAAGATGTTTACAGATTTGCTTGTGTGTTCGCCTTCAAACTTGCGAATACGCATTTTGTACGATATTCTGTCTGTGATAACGATAACAGTTACCGGAATGGAAAAATGGTGAATGTACAAAGCAAGAATCGGTGGCTTATATCAGGCATAGGCGCTTATTTGTATACATAGAAAATGAGAGACGGAATGAACAACAAGCACATGAATATAAATAAATAAACAAAATGACACTGGATGAAGACATTCGTGTTTTTCGGCTCGATTTTATCGATCCATCATCCACAGGAGGGAAAATCGAAAAACCATTTTTTTTGTTCCTTGTCTTTATTATCCGGGAATTTTTTTTTGAACAGAAACTGTGTGAACAATCGATGATGATTAAATTTGTCGGTCTGACAAAAGCTCAATCAAAAAAACAGGTGACACTTTGGAATAGAATGAATGAAGTTTCAAAAAAATAACTTTAACGAATATATTTTAATCGAATTAAGCATTGACCAATATAAAATATAGTTCAAAAACCAAGATAAAATCTAAATTAGGTAATAAAATGCTGTTGTCAATGCGAATTAGATTTACAATGCACTAAATACACACACAAAATTGAATTTTCACATTCTACTCATATAATGCATATGGAATAATGTGTGGTCTACGTTGCGGCCAAAAAGGCCCCATAATTTGCAAAACCGTCACCATGCATCGAGTAATGTGATTCGTACACAACATTATTACTTAAGACATCAGTGGTTTATCGGTAACTATGAATACACTACGAATACACAGCCATTCGGGTGATTATTACATTACACATTTGTATACTGTGTGGCATTATTGTTGCGCATACGAAAATCATTGTGCATAAAACTAACGGGCGCTGTATCAGCATTTTGAATTATTAATCAGTATATCATAGACAGAAAATTATTACGATTATGCTCTGTTCAACACAACTGACTAAATATTGTTTAGGATTTTGTGACCATTTTCTCGAGGAAGTTCGACAATTTGCTTTTGCCATAGATCTATTATTATCAAGAAGATATGCAGTCGATGAAAATGAGACAACAGAGAACAAGAGCCACTGTGGCAAACCTCCATTAAGAATGAATTCAAAATTACCTCACACAAACACAAACACCCATGTACATATTCGTAATTTAGATTTTGGCGTGAATTGCCTAGACAATGGAAATTGAATTGAATTTCGCCTTAAATTATACAACACTATACGTTCAAATTTGTAGCTTTCAATGAAAAAAACGATACATTTTCAGCTTTCACTACACTTTTACATTTTCCAAGAATATATCTGTTGACAATTTCCTTATATTCAGCGGAATATTGAAAAATATGTTTCGATAAATTGCTAAAAAATGGTGAAGAAAACAAAATCAGTCATTACATGAATTATGAATAACAAAAAAAAATTACAAGAAATAAAATGAATAAATGTGTAATGGAAAAAGTTGTCTTTGTTGAATAGATTTTTTGAATTATTAGCTTCGAAACTGAGAAAAAGTATAATTCATTTTGAAGTGTAAAATAATTTTGCCAATTGGGGAAAATGATTTATTATGGACGAATTTTCTTTGTGGGAAGTTTTCCAACAACGTTTTTTTTCCTCTCTTTCACACTCTCCGTATCAAACGATTTATTCAATGTAAATTTATACTCTGCCACATTGAGTTCATTGTTCAACCAAAAAGCACTCAGAATTTCAATGGTTTTTTCCATCTTCTTCCACAGAATGTTTTAAGCAGTTTTTTTTTAACCACAAAAAGGCATTCATTTTCATTTTTGTCAAATATTGAACTAGTTCTCTTACCATTACATTTAAAATTTGATATTGGAATTGAAAATTAAGCAAACTACTTGACTCAATGCCATAGATAGATTATCTATTATCGATGAATGTATAAAAGAATGCAATTTGATTGCGAAAAATGAAATGTTCTGTATTTCGTCTTTGGATCGTGTTGAAAATATTTACACAAGTATGTAGGTGCTATTTGCTCGTTTTGAGCATTGAAAAGGATCAAAATTAAAATAGATGTGCTTTACAATCATCTAAGGGAAAGCAATATTTGGTGAAAATTGTCGGTAATTTACGCTATTTGTTCAAAAGACAATTTTTTTTATGTTTTCAAATGCATTTCACAAAACATTGTATATTTGAGTGATGATATGTGTTTTTCTCCTCGAGAAAATGTGCGATATCAAGTAACAAATTGACACAAAAACTTGCTTGCAATGTCGACGATGGGCGAAAAACACAAAAAAAAAGAACATGGAGCAGAAAAAAAGTAAAAATGTAAAATGAAAATAATATTTTTATGACCTTTTTACTACTTCACTTTAGTTTATGACTGTTCATTTTTCAAATGCGCAAAATTTAATGCCACCAACGGCATTTCGTCTTACTTTTTGTTGTAAATTTGTTACAAAGAAAAATGTCTGAAGATTTTCAAAAGTGGCTAGAGATCCATTACATTTTGCGCCATTGTTTCTTTATTTTTATTTGTGTGTGTATGTGTGTGTGTGTTTGTGTCTCAGGGAGCATGGCTGGTGACTATTTACGTGTAGTTAGGCAATAGCACGCAACATTCGAAATCATATGCTGTTTGATTTTAAATTGCGTAAAATACACATATCCTCCCCGTATCCATGGCTGAATATGAATAAATTCTTTTTATGTCTCTCATATTTATTTTTATCTTTATTTCGCGCTACTTTTATCAATATATACTCTATAGTAAGCTCGACGTTTGCCCTATCATCCGATTCCATACATTTTGCATTCTCGTTCATTCTATTCCGATGAGCTTAGCAAGACAATAAAATATTGTAACGTCTCTGTGTTTCTCATTTGCTTATATTTTGTTTTGCAAATTTGCACATTTGCTTACAAACGTCTTAAAATCCCTTGTTTCGCCTTTCAATTTTTCGGCCAACGTCGTTTTTTATTGTGTTGCCATTTTTCGTTTCATTTTTCTTACATATATCAAATGGGTGCCGTTTTTACGAGAAATGGGGATACACAAATGAATGTAAATTCGTCTAAACTACAGCATCGGCGAAATGTGAACAAGAAATGGTAAATAGTATCAACACAAAAATATTGCTTAAATTGTTGAAAGTAATATAATGTAGACAGCAACAACAGCATCAATTGCTTGTAGCAAGAACAACATGCATGTACGTGTCACATAGCAGCAGCAGCCCAGAGAAAAGAAAAGAAATGAAAAACTCTTGGAAAAATGAAGCATGGAACATTAATATTCCGAAATTGTCGGGAATATTCTTACACAATCTCTAGTGTGTATGACGCGGTTCGCTAGGCATTCCACGTATTTTGCAGTTATGCTCTCTCTCTCTTCTTTTTTTGTTTTCTGTATATGAGTGCGCGCGTGTTGTTTTGTTTTATTTGGCGTATGTAGTTTATATTTTGTGTACACCATTCGTAGCAAAGAGTATATACGAAGAAGGAGATCATTTATAAGAAAGAGAGTCCCTTTCACATGTACAAACACAAGCAGTCTCCAGTAAACGAGCACGGCGAAAGGAAAATGACGCGGACAAAAGCATCTTCATATAAAACAATTCATGAATATTAGAATTTAAACTATTTTCGCGTATATATTTGAACTTGAAAACAACCATGTTCACGTACACTCCATGCAAAAAGTGAACCTACATTTTCATCTATCATATGAAGAAAAAAAATCGAAGTTGAATCTAATATATGCATTCAACATAATTGACATTTTAATTATTGAAAAATCGATGCAATTTTAAAGATATTACATACTTTGCTTCAATTAACATTTTAAATAACAATTTGATTCAGTTCAAACATTTTTCGTTTCACATAATCACAATGGAAAAAAACTTCAACCTTTTTTTTGGCATTTACCACCGTTAACCATGCATAGTCTTGCACACTTTGCACAATTATCGATGTATTGGAACAAAGATTTTGACTGTTTCAATGCATATGTTTTATGCCACGTGCTAATTCCTCCTGATTCAAAATTGGCTGCGAAAGAAATGCGAAGATGACGAATCTTGTGCGCTGTGCTAATGATCTCACAACCAATTACGCGCCATTTCTTTTCTCCATTACCAAACATAACTACCCTAATTCTTAAACACTTCAAATTATCGTTAATTTTTATAACCGAATTTTCAACGTTTCATTGCAAAACATTATACTCTTCAGCAAAAATTTAAATTACCTTCATCGTCATCATAGCCCAATAGAATATGGAAAAATGTTCTTTTCAAGAAAATCTCTTTGAACTACGAATAATTTTCTTTTACTATGATGAAAATTACAAAAAAAAAAACGATCAACGATTTAACAGAATTAAAATCCACACAATGTATTTAAACATTTTCAACTATTTTCATATTTCAGGTCAGCCAACTGCCATTTGTGTGGTGAAGCTGCAAAAGAACGATGTAATAGCAGCTGGCTGAGCCAAAATATTTGGCCGAAAATATCTCAATACATTGTCAATGGAAAACTTATTTCATAAAATATTAATATTTTCGTATTATTCTTTGGATGTTTTCAATCATTGAACATAAAATGTGAATCTAACTGCAAGCCAACATTTAACATACATATTTGAGTGAAGAATCTAAACAACCCGTCGGTATGGTGGTTCGATCTAATTCGATATGAATAACTCAATTTTCGTTGATGATATAAAAACAATAATAATTGAATTTGCATTTGATGTGTTCTATGCCATGCAATTGTAAAAAAAATAAGTAAATGGTAAAGTTGAAAATGTAAAAAACTGTGCTCTTGGGTGAAAAACTTACACTGCATGCCCATTGATGTCGAAAACATTGATGTCCGATGAACATCTTGATGATGATTTCGCGCTCCAATCACCGAACATTGTGAACCAGGACCAGGATGATGTAAAGTGCCCATTGCAGCCGACACTGCACTTCCATGTCCAACTCCCGAACCAACTGGATTATAGCTACGTGCCATTGATGCTGCAGCGGCCGTGTATCGATATGCCTGTGACATTTGGCTACAAGACGTTAGATCACCATACGTACAAGGCATATTCGACATTGGATCAATGCCATTTTGTAAACAATTTGTGTCGAACGAGGCAGCCGCCTGATTTAAATATGTATAATCCATGATGACTCTTTTCTAAACGAACACAATCCAATTCTTGATTTTATTTTAAATGTCGATGTGTTCAGTTCGATCAAGATGTTTTTTAAAGAAAAGATTAAAAATCCGCACACAATTGTTAAATCGAGAACTTTCACTCGGTCAATTAAATCTCAGTAGAGGCACCACAAAAGTGTGTGCCGTTCTGGTGTTGTAAAATGTTCAATTTTTTGAAGATTTGATTCGTTAAAAATGTCTTCGACTGAATCAATTATAGGCGACTATTTAATTAAAATCACTTCATATTTGTCTCTATCAGTGTCACAAATGTTTGCTTTGATATTTTTTCAATTCAAGCAATTGACGCTTAAAATCAATTTTTGTGTGTCATTAATACGAAATCACTAGTCGAAAATTCACTGTTCAAATTTCAAAATGATCAATTCTATTTTTTTAGGTTTGAGTAGGGAAAGCGTTGAGAATTTCTTTGAAATTATTCCCGATTCACAAAAATCACAAATATTTTAGTCCACAATGGTTACACAGATTCTTGCACACATTTTCTATGATTCTCTGTCAATATATTTAGTCACCAAAGTCACTTCAATTGCTTCACAAAATGAAAGATCTCCGTAAATGCAATTTGTTTTGATTGAATTGTTAGGAAATATTAATGTTTTCTTTGTGAGTAAATGAAAATCTTTTACATTTCTTGAAATATTTATCATATACAATTAAAGCAATGAACGAATCAATACGATTTAGTTAGGAAATGTTTTACCAAAAACAACAATGCAAAAAATATGCAATTGAAAATAAACAATATTTTCACTGTTTTATTCGGTTTGTTATTAAATAGATTGGTGCGAGTAATGAACGAAAAAAAAACTGTACGAATTCACGTTTATTCCAATAAAAATACTTCGTATTCGTTGTTGTCGTCGTCGTCACAATGAAAACAATATGTCAAATAATTCGGACACACCACCGACCGGTTGCTTACCCCAAAATAAAATGATAAGCTTAATTCAATAACGTTTGCTTAAAACCTTTTCGGAAAACGGCATTCAATTCGAGTCAAACAGTGGCACAAATACAACACCACTTGCACCTTGCACGAGCAAACCCAACACCAGCTATGTGTGACACATACAATGTATGCAATATTTGGTACAGCGAGAGAGAGAGAGAGGGAGAGCACAATCAAGTCAGAATGATGTGATGTGAGATAACACGATTAATCATTGGCAATGTGAGTGGCAAAAACGAGACAGGAACAAGTGTGTGTGTTTCTGTAAATGTATGAATCCGAATCACAGGAAAACAATGCAATGCAATCACAAAAAAAACTACCATCAAAAATGAAACATTTTAGAGGGTTGGAATAAAGGAAATCGTATGAAAAATCCGTGTGTTGCCAATACAGACACCATGCGTATAACAAAAATGAAAACATATACATTGAAAAATACTGTTCGGTTCATTCATGTTCGAATGCGCTTCAGCAACCACAGCAGCGCCAGTATCAACAGTCACAGCAAACGGGATCAGTTACCGCATCGTTTGGTAAAGATACGATGGTAATGCACATACAATGGCAACAACAAGGCGATCTGGTTTTGGTTCGATTCGTTTTGACTATGAGTGAATTGCACACATACTCATATTCTTGTGCACAAATACATGCGAACAGGGAGAGAACATTGATTTTTGAATGCGTGGCAACGACTTTGAGAGGGGATATGCGAATCGCGTTGCTATAGGCGGAGTCACACCCCTAAAAAGGAAGTACAATAAACCAATTGTGACTACGTATTCAACAGCAATTACTGTTGTCCTGCTTCAAATCGTAGCAGTACTTATTGCTATTTCGATTTGAAATAATTCGTTTTTGTGCGTTTTATATCTTCGGGCAATTGCTATATCGTGATCAACTCAGATTAGAATTGAGACGAACTAAACTAGTTCTTCTTCATTTATTTTCCTGCTTCTGACGAAAATGACGTCAGAATGTTTCATATGTTTGGCATCAAAAAATTTCACTCGGTGTTTGGTTATATTCATTTTCAGCAATCTATTTCAGCCAAACAACGGTGAAATTTCTGCGAACCAAGACAAACGAAACTAGTGTTTGTGTATATATGTATATATTTGACGAGAAAAAGACACACATCAACTATGAACACTGAATCCGGCTGATGAATTTTCCGGACCTCCGGACTCTGAATCAAACAAATCATATTTGTCTTCTTAATCTCAAATGGATTTTTTTTTATTTGTCCAACCACAATTCACGACAGCTGTCAATGCCATTGAGTTTTTTCATGATGCCACAACGATCACGCCATCCATATTACAAGCACTGCTCTATCGAACACCTCAAGATATTAAAACGTTGACAAAATATTGCCATGCTATGCATTGGTTATTCTTATTCCATTTTATCCCCACCTTACACTGATATGTGACATTCTGAACTTAGGCGAAACAAAACAAAACTGAAATTTGAAGAAGAAATCCCATATCGAACATAATAAATTCATGTGTGAAATCATATTGAGGTCATTTCAAATAATCAAAACAACAATAACAATAATCAAATTAAATCACCATAAATCAAAGTTCACACAAATACTCGATACGAAGTCGAATTTTCGGCAGAAAAACAAAAATCAATAGTGTTCAAAGGGTCTTGTGCGTGAAAAGAAAACAACAAAATTGACGCTATATTTTAATTGATCATCATTGATGGGCCATTCAAAACAGAAAATTAATTGATGCCAAATCATAAAAAAATGTAATCGCCAATTTGTTTTTCTTTATGATTTTCATTACATTGACTGATGTAAAATTTGGAAATAACTAAAAAAAAACTCATTGCAATGTTCAGCAGCTTCTCATGTTTCAACTTAACGTCAAAAAATCGTGCAATTCAACAAATCGATAACAAACGATAATATTCATTTTCATCACATTGCAGTGATTCAACAGTTGAACAGCGAATTTCACTTCGAACGATAATACGATTCTGTATTTCTCTTTCTCCGCTTTTTTGTCTGTTTCTCATGTGTTATTTGTTTGTTTGTGTATTTTGCACAGTTGCTGCCGACACGATGACGAGATGCAACTACTTGTCTTAGTTATTATTTTTCGTTGGTTGCTTTTCTTGTTGCTCTCGTTGCTCATTTTCACACATTTTGTACCGAGAACTGTTTATAGCTGATGGTGCTTGCGAAATGTTTACCGTTACGCGTGCACGGTGCAATCCTTTTTTCCCACTAAAATATATCCCATTTTCAAAGTTCCATGTTTCTCATCGTCGTCGCCACCATTCGTCGACATTGCAACGGTTTTTGGAAATCAGCATAAGGTTTTGTTTCGATATGTTTCTCATATGATGTTTATGTTTGTGCATCGACGATGCTAATGCTTCTCATGTGCCTGTTACGTTGAATCTAATATGATTTGCTTTCTGTCTACGTAGTTGGGCTGTGGAAAAAAGGCTCTCAATTTCAAAGGATTGAAATTCTGGTCGATTGCGTTCGCACATGGAAAATCCATTCGTATACAAATAATTTTCCGATAATATATCTCTGCCCGTTCTCTGATCTCTGATTTTTGAATGATTTCGTTTTTTTCTAAAAGCCAACATTAAATCGCATGATTATTGGCACCTGCTTTTTCAACTACCGTGATGAGATCATAACGCATAAAAACAAATTTCTTTACTAATAAATTGATGAAAAAATGGTGAAAATTCAAACTTTATGAAGGCCGAAAAATGAGCTGATATCACAATTCAACTGAAACTAAAAATTATTCATAATAACTCCGTTTTTTTCTCGTTTGTTGAAGTCAGATCGAATGAGCTTCGAAAAAAAAAAGTGAAATCGAGTTGATTCAATTTGCACATATAAAAATAAATTCAATTTGGCATTACGCGGAATGCCAATACCCCGAATTTAGATCGAATTTCATATTTACACGATACTGTCGCATGTAATATAATAAATTTTAAAATTAAATATAAATAAAACAAATCGAACGTCGAATGTATGTGTACAACTTTTTTTTCTCGACTATATTATTCTGTATTTGTGTATATTTTTTTTGCTTCCATTGAAATGGTGTATTTTTTTTGCTGTGTCACACTTTGCCAGCTTTTCAATTATCCACTCAATTGACAGCGATGAAAAAAGGATTGTAACAACTACAGTTAATTATGTGCATTTTTTCTCTTTTCATCAGAGTGCATACGTTAAAAAATCGGCTGCCGAGACGACAGCATTGGCTGGTGCAACAAAAAATAATAATAATACATTTAACTGATGTCCAAACATTGATCATTGCCAATAATGAAATATCAATTTAAACAATATTTATTTCATTTATTCAACTTGAACCGCGCACAAAAAATAATAATAATCCTTTTTGTAAATTTACCATTTAATAAATAAATGACACTGATGTGATTTTTATTAGGAATTTATTGAAATTTCTGTCGTTATTTTTCTTTCTTTTTCCGAATAAATCAAAAAAAGTTAAAGTTTATTTGGATAATCAGTATCCTTAACACGACTCGCATTGGGCATGTGTGACATCTTCATCAATTATGAATTATCACCAAATTGTTGGATTTCTGGTCGTGTGTTTGCACGAAGCAATTGAGATCTTATCAGTTTGAATTTTGCGGTGAATGATTCAAGCGGGGCAGGCAAACGATATTTCGGTAAGCATGCAGACATATTAAACGATAGTAATCAAATTTCACTTCGAAACAGATAATAGCGATCATCATCTGCACTTGGGGCATTATGCTCAATTAAGCTACAATCGTATTTAATTTTTTTTTAAATGGTTCGTGGGCTCAAATGTACTGACACCAATCAAGCATGCTAATAAACTTGTATATGCGTGCATGTGTGTGTATGTTTCAGAATCACGTAGAATTGGCGTAGAATTTCTCGACTAGTTTTCAAGCATTCAGCTTTGATCCAATTGTAAATAATATAATAGGTTACAATGTCCAATCTCAATGTCTACATTAGGTTTTACCACACACACAATGGATATTAGTTCAATGGCGTACCATATATATTCATATTCAAATGTTATTGTTTTGTTCCACAAAATAATAATTTGCAACCATTTGGAATATTGTTGTTGTTCAATCAAAGCACATATTATGTAATTGGTAAACTATCAATTCGGTTAATTCGGTATCGGAACATGTGTGTGTGTGCTGTGTCGCTATCATTTCCCATGTGTTTGGCTATATTAGTAATGTAACACAGCGGTGCCAGCAAGCAATAAACAATAGACAGAATATGCTTTTGAATAGCAATTTCTGTCAATTTTATTGGACCAAAAATGCAGCCATTTCAAGTCAAAGCCCTATGACTGATAAGCTTACTTAAGATGCAAAATTATGCAGCACATATCCCTTCATACTATTATTCGGCATTTTCCGCATTAAATGTTTGCATTTTTAATAAGTTGTCAATAAGCATAAGCGAAGACACTTGGGAATCACCTATGCATTTCTAATCGCATTTAGTTTATTCTCACCTTTTTTTTTTTAATTCAACAAAATTCGCACAAAAATTCGATTAAATTGAAAAGATGTGAAAAAATTGCG